TTGCTTCACTGTACATTTGAAACTCATTAAAAGGAAATGACAGAGCTTTGTCCAGTGCAGACTTCTTTTAAAATTAGATACTTGTAGCCTTACTGCTACAAAAGCTAGGTTCTTCCCTGTGGCTTCTGGTTCCCTTATGATCAATCAGTGTCCAGTCTTAAACATCACCAAAATCACACCAGAACAGTGAACACACCAGAACAACTCTCAATGGTGAATTTGGAGCAAGGCAGCAGACTAATTCTTCAGAGATGGAAGCCCTTCTGGGAAAGGAGGGTGTCTGGACTGGCTGGTGGATTACAGCAGCATGTACAGTCTAAAATTCCACACAGTTCAGGCCTGCACAACCTGAACGAACGAGTTATGCTACAATTCCTGCCAAGTTTTGTGTTGTGTTCCTGTCAGTTCTCAGCCTCGCTCATGGAGGGGCATAGGGAAGATGATTTCACAGGACAGATGCATTTTTGGACTGTTGATAATGCAGTGTCCAAGTCCCCAGCCAAAGCTGGGGATTGAATGCTCGTTTTCCAAAGCTGGCAGCTGCCCTGGAACACAGAGCTGGGGCTGAACTTAGTGCTGAAAGTTGCCCCAGGGTTGAGCCCAGTTAATGAGTCATGTTGTGGCTGTTTGCAAAGACTTGCATGTCTAGCTATAAATCCTCTGAAAATATCATGTTCTACTGAAAGCTCTTCTGGGGTGCCATCCTTATGTACATCAGCGTTTCTGCTGCTCCTCTAGTCTCTTATTCCAGACAAAACAGGGTTTTAAATGTTCTCCAAAAGCAAGGCCAAGGCTTTGGGAGAATAGTTCTTTATATGTCTAATTAAAAATTCAAACTCTGCCTTTAAACACGGAACATGCTTAACTTGCCTTTGGATGGGAACAGATTGCCCAGAGAAGCTGTGGATGCTCCATCTCTGGAGATACCCAGAGCTGGGTTGGCTGGGCCTTTGAGCAACCTGGGCTAGTGGAAGGTGTCCCTCTCTGTGGGAGGGAGTTGGAGCTAAAATCATCATTTAAGGTCTCTTCCAACCGAAACCATTCTGTGCAAAATGCAGCTCCCATATCAACTGCTTCATCCTGACATCTTCAGATGTGGTGGAAAAGCCTCAACTGTACTGCTCCAAAATGGATAGACCCTAAACCTTCATATCTCTAGATGCCTGAGGCATTGCTCTGGCCTTTCCTGAGGTGTCTCTGCGCTGGTCAAGGCCAGGTGCAGGCTCTCATCAGTGGTGGGGTTTGTTGTCTCAGCTGGAGAGCAACCAAATGATGGTGGGGAAGACAGATTTTTCTTCAGAGCTGGAATGCAGCATCAACACTTTTTTAATGAACCCGGCTTCCTTGGGAAGTGACAGAGGTCCCTGCTCTGATGCATCCACTGGGGTTGGAAGCCTTAACTTGGTGAAGAGGGTAATAAGGGGGAGGTTTTATGTTTGTTCTGACCTCTAAACAAATGATTGCTCTGAAAGATGTAACAGATAAAGATACAGGTTTTACAAATAGGCAGCTCAGCCATGTCTGTTGGATACCTGAGCCTCTACACTCCTGATAATACTTGACCTATTTTTGGACTGAGATAGAGTGCAACACTTACTCAGAGCACCCTTACATGCTCCCCTGGTTTCAAATATGAACAGCCTCATAATGTGCACAGACCCACTAAATTATTTCTGCAGAGGACATGACACTTTATTTTTATGTACTTTCCTCAGAGGCTTCTTTTCCAAAAGCCTTTGTACTGTTTTTTAAAATGAAATTTGCCATAAATTAAAAATTTAATAAAGATTATAAGCTGTTTTTAGTTCATTGCTTTTAAGCATGCACTTGGAAGCTGAAGGCACTTTCCCTCTTGTGCTTACAAGCCCCCTTTAAATATTGCATATTGTTAAATACAAAGAAGTGTGACTGCATGTGGCTGTGCCTCTGGGATGTTCCTGATTTCTGTGGTTCCCCTGTGTCCTTTTACCAGCAGCACTGCTGCCCTTTCCATTTCTTGATGTAGCCTGTAATCCTCAGATTACAGCCCTCAGATTTTATTGAATCTGACCCAAGAGCTTGGTAACCCTTTCTTCAAATTCCTTCTTGTTTTGACTTCAGTCTGTGCAGACAAACCTTGAGCAATCTGTCCAGTGTCTCTCAAGCCCTCCAGCAAGCAGTTTTGTTCTTCTAAATCTATTGTTTATTTTCCAAAGTGATGGTTCTCTTAATTTTTTTCTAGCTTCCCTAGATATTTATGTTGTACTTCCCTGCCTTTCCTCTATTACCTTAATTCTTATGCAAAAACAATAGTTTTGACATCTGTTCCCTGTCCAAAAAGACACAACCTTCAGCTGTTCCCTGCATGTTTTCCATGTCCTCAAAATAACTCTGCTATGCCTCTAACACACCCATGACTACTGAGCATTTACATCCCCTCAGCTTTCTCCTCTTGTACAAATTCATCCCAGCCCAGACCTTTAATTTGCCTTTTGCTGACCTGCAGGTCCCCACACATGCTCGCTTTCTTCCCTTTTCTCCAAGTTTCACATTCTCAGTGAAACACTCTGCATTTTTTGGGCGCTTACTCCAGCACTGCTGGCCTTGCCTCTTGTTTTCAGCCAGACCAAACTCACCATACACCTGCTGAGCTCATTTGTGGTCTTGCCAGCCTACAAGAAATGTAGGGATTATTTCTGGAACAAGCACCTGATTTCTCCCAAGATGGCAATTTTTGCACTGATTCACAGGACAGGGAGGGCTCATCTATTTATCAACTTGTATAACTGCTTCTTCATATTTGTACAGGCTTTTAACTCTGGATTTACAGCTATCCTGAATGGTGCCATTACTTTGAGCTCATCAGTCAAAGCCCATTCTTTTGGCATTTAAACACTTTTATGGAACAGATAGGATATGGTTCAAGCCTTCCTCAGGGAATAAATCACCACCTTCTGCAGCTGTAATTCTTTATGATGAAGAGAACTTACTGTTTCAAGTAGTTATGCCTCTGATTAATCTTGCTTTAATCACCCACTTGACTATGTGTAATGCAGCAGGTCTCATCAAATTTATGGTTATTACAAGGTTATTTATGGTTCTCTGATGTGAAGAATTGTGTCTTACTCTTTGGATACTGAGGAAATATGCTTACCATATGAATCACCGTATACAAAGAGTATTTTAGGTGTTGCATCTGCTCTTTATCCTTTCTTGATTAGTAAAGCAAACAGCTTTGTATCCAGTGTCAGGTTTTTGCTCATTCATTTGCTAGAAAACACCCAAGGCATCAGTCTGCAATACTGAATTCCTGACCAAGAACTGGGTGCAGCATCCTCCATCTGCCTTCCTTTTGTATTTTAATTGTGGCCAAAGTTACTTTGAACAACTAAACCTAGCTTTTACCTCTGCCTCTTGGGCAGTATTTTTACAGAACATGAAAGTACCTTCATAGAGGCAATTTTGAGATTTTGTTCATTGCTCACTCTTTTTTACTTCGTTTAAAATCAGACATGGAAATGGATTTTTTCATGTTTGCAGAAGCTCTGCTTTTTTTCCTAGTGGAGGCCTCTAAGGAGGAATACATGTTCCCACACCTCTAAGTGCTTGTTGCAGGCCTCTCCCTCCTGCTGGGCTGCCACCCTTACTGAAGGACACCTCCTGAATTACTTGCTTCTACTCCTAGCAGAGAGACATTATCTTCACTTTCAAACAAGAGTTATCAGCTGAACACTGGGATAAAATTTGTAAAACCAGGAGTATTTGTGCAATAAAGAATATAGCATTTGTCTGTGTATGTGAAGAAGAATAAAATCACTCCCTGCTGGGAATTGGAAAGTTCTTTTAGGTAATCAAGGCAAGAGCAGTACAATCAGCATGTGTTCCCATCTCAAAGGGAAAACTTAGGCAACAGTTTAGATATTGTAGTAAACTCCTCCAACTTCCCAAGGGCAGTGCATCTACCTTAATTTTCAAAATAGCTTCAGTTTTTCTTTTGCTATGATTAGCTAGTTTTTAAATTCAGAAGTGGCTGTTTGCAGTGTGATTGGTCACAGGGTTCCACAGGTCTTTGCCTAAACTGCTTAAATTCTGGTATCTCTGTTTGTCCTGTGAAGTGGATAATCCTGTTTTTTAAGGACATCACCCTTGCTCTCTTGATACCCCATAAAGTGCAGTGCAAACACCATTGCAGCAGAAGTCTGAGTATTTGTAAGAAAAGAGTGTAGCAAGCTCACTGCAAGAAATGTGTTCTCTTATACAAAGGTCCCCAAGTTAATTCCTGAGAAGAGGACGACCATTTTTGTCTGTGTGGTCCAATCAAATAGGCTAAGGCTTTCCTTGGAAGCACTTTTGATTAAAGCCTTTCGTACTTTCCTGTGCTTCCTTCAGGAACAAGAGGCTCAGCAGAATTTCTGTGGGCGGACCAGACAAGGGCTGGGAGGAGCAGAACCCGCACAACATGACCTGCGCTGCTCTGATCCTCTCTTGCAGGATCCCACTGCAGCACAGGTAACATTTGGGATTTTTGGAGGGTGTTCATAATCCTGCCAAACTCTCTTTGTTTCCCTCAGGAAGAAAGCAGGGAGGGCCAAGAAATTGTAGAGATCGATTTGTCCCAGAGCTGTTGGCAAACAATCAAATAGCTGTACGTGTATGGTGTATCCCAAAGAAGGGGGGACACCCAAGATCTACCAATGCCACAAAGGCAGCTTGAAAAGGGAGCCCTTACTTTGCCAGGGGTGTTTTGTCACAGACCTGGGAGTGGCAGCAAGTTTTGAGCACCTCTCCAGAGCATTGTGCGTAATACAGATTAAGATCGTGCCAGTGGCTCTTTTCTCAAGTAGCCTCTCCTCTGGGGGAGGAGAAGGTAGGTGACACAGTCTTGGGATCAGAGCTCATGAAGAATGAGGAAAGAGCAATCAGTTTAGGGAAAGCTTAACAAAGCTTAGCCTGTTGAGAGATTTGTGCCCCAGCTGAGACTCCATTCCTGTTCCTTGTCATACCACAGAGGAGGCCAGTCACACCTGCCAAACCTCTTTAATTAATGACAGACCAGAACTGTGGCAGCATCCCTGTTGGAGGGAAAAGAAGGCATGCCTGCACATGTAGGTGTGCACATGCACAGAGCATAAGGAAATCGAGAGGACATCTCGCCCATACATACACTAGATCATCTCTCATCCCTGGTGATCCCACAGCAATAGAATTTTATGAGACTGAAGAATGTGCCTACAGAAGTGAAAGCAATGAGCCCAGGCCAACCATGGAACAGTCTTTTGTTATGGTCCATGTTCAGCACCCGAGAAAGAAGGAAATGCAGGCCCCACAGACAGTGTGCAGCCTCTGCTCCAGCTGCCAGCCACCTGAACAGTGGAACGAGCTGCTGCCTCACTCGTGTCCCTCCTCACCATCCCTGCTTGGCCCACGTGGTTCCAGGCTGTTGTAGGATGGCAGTGTGGTCACTACAGCCTCAACAGTGAAGCGATGCGGGGCATGGAGAGCTGGTGCCTCATCTTGGAAAGCAGCGTTATCCTGACTGTTCAGAGGGGGTATCGGTGGAGGCAGCTTCTGCCGAGAGCGGAACCAGCGGAAGCCCAGGATAAAGGTGATGGCAATGAAATCCAGAACCAGCTCTGCAAGCTCCATCACAGACAGGACAGAGGATCCAAACCAGAGACTCCACTGGTTCCCAAGCTGGGACAGCAGAGTCACTACCTGCAGAAGATGGAGAAAGAGCAGTGACAACAGCCCTCATCTGGGACTTTGCCTCCCTGCCTGTTCCCTCTTCCCTGTGGGGCTGGGGGGGTTCCCCTCACCCTGCCCAAGGAAAAGAGACAATATCCAGCAATCCTGCTGGAACAAAAGCTTGCCACAGTGGAGGGACATTGTGAGGGAATGGGTGGCCAGAGAAGAAATGGTAGTGAAGTGTGTACCGTGAAGGCTGGAGACTCCCCATTGGTCTTGTAGTTCCACTCCTTAAAAAAGATATTCACTTTGGCAACTCCATTCCTGTGAATGAGAGATGACACTCAGTAACCCCAACTCCCCAGTCCCTGCATTTCTTCACCAAGCTTAATTGTCTCTGTCCCCTTCTGCCCCCCATCCTTCTCCCACACATACTACCCAGAGGCTTTCTCCCATCTCTGCAGTTCTCATTCTGCACTAAATACAGTCTTTGGTATTTACAGTGCACTGTACTGTAAAACCCAATGTTTGTGGTAATAGCTCCTGCACAGCTCTCCTTCCCACTTTTCCACAAGCACTTACTGTGACTCTGGAACACACAGCAAGTGCTGGGGCTTACTATTCTCATGTCAGCATCTAACCTCTTTCAAAATTTTTCACTTGGGTCCCCAGTCCTTGCTGAAGTCTCACTATATATCTACTCTGACTCAAATCCACTACCCTTGTCCACAGGTCCCATGCCTGATCTCTTCCCATCAGTGATTTAATCTTAACTCTAACATTTCCAACACACACATTGCACTGGGATGGTTTCTGCTTTGGACACAGTCTCTGTTTAGGGGGCTCTCACCTCTTGGATGTGATATTGTATTTGTTCTGTTGTGAAAGCATGTAGAAAACCCAGTCCTGAAATGAAAGTGCAATAAATTGTGTCACATGATCACAATCACCTCCTACCTGTTGAGGAAGGACTAAATGGGAGGTGGGAGCAGTGCTGGGAAGCCTGGACACACTCCTTACCTCTGAGACAGCAGAAGGCCAGCGGGAGTATCCAGCTGACAGCTGGTATTCTGTCATTCTGCAAGGCAAGAGGAGGCTGTGTGAGCTGTTGAAGCTGTAGGAGCCACAGGGCACACCTGGAGATTCCCTCCCATGCTGCAGTTCTGCCCACTTCCCACCATGTGGAATGCAGTCCTTGGGAGCTCACCCCTAAACCAACCCACACACTCCTCAGCCATTTTTACTTCCTGATGGGAGAAATACCATTTCAGGCTGGGGCTCAGCTATTGCATCAAGCTTTTGCCCATCAGTGAATGCTTCCCAACACTTCTGGGAATACTTTCCAATCTTCCTGTCTGACTGATAATCAACTTACTTGCAAGGTTTCCGACACTTGTGGAAACAGCCCAGCACGTCAGCTTTGAATTCAGCCAGGAGTTTGTAATAGCAGTAGCCTGAACAGCAAGGAAAGTAAATCCAGGTAAGCTCACAGTATCTTTAGACAAAAGGTGGTGTGTGACAGGATCATTCAAGGCAAGACTGTCTTTTGGATGTCTCACACCAGGAAGCTCATTGAAGATGATGGGATGTGCTGGGACATGAGCTGGACCAAACAGGTTCAGGTGGGCATGAGCTCTACTGTCCCTGCTGTAAACAGGGTATTGCTTACCCCAGGCTTTGTGCTTCGTGTAGTCACAGTACTCTGCTCCCCTGGGCAAGGGGTAGAAGTAATATGCACAGCCACAGCGTTCTACCATGTTGAGCTGAAAGCAGGAGCGAATGCAGACCTGGGAGGCACATAGGTGGAAAAGGCTGATCAAGGGAACCAAACCCACTGCTGCCTGTGTCGCATCACACCATTACCAGAGCCCAAGGAAAGGCATGGCCGTTAGGGGGCTGAAGCATGCCAGGAAAGTGGAGAAACGAGGTGACCCGGGAGGGGTCAGCGTGAGTTACCTGCTCGGTGTAGCGGGATGAGTACAGGTTTTGCACTGGCACGTCACTGCCATCCTCTGTGCAATCGCTGTAACTGCCCCCAAGGCGCACGGTCATCTCCTAAAACAGCAAATTCTCACTGCACGGAACAGCCCCACTTTGCTGTCCTCTTCCCACTCTCCCACACCACACACTGCTCATCCATCACTATCTGCTCTTTATGCTTTCCTCGGGATGCCAGCTCCCCCTGCTTGCCTCCATTTCATTGTTCACTGATAAACTGTAGCCAAATGCTTCTCCTCTAGTCCAGCAAGCCATTCTTCTTCTTCCTCTCCTTTCACTCCATGTGTTTAGTCCCCTCCCTTAAACACACACCATAGGTGCACCAAGTTAAACCTCCCGTCCACAGCTCTCCCCCCTTCTGCCTGCTCACCTTTCTCATGCTGATGGAGGTCTCAATGCCAGGACGAACATTGAAACCCCCATCATCCATGAAGGCTGGCTCATTCTGGTCATGGACCATGACCCTGGCTCCTGTCACCGTGGACAGCAGAGGGATGAAATCATTCTGCTCGGTGCGCACCACCAGAGAGAGACCTGAGGGGATATCAGAGAGAGAGGGAGGTCATGGCCAGCTGTGGTGCAGCACAGAAGGGAGAGCAGGATGGTTAGAAGGAAGTCTGAAAGAGATAAAGGAGAAGACAGACATCAACCAGGGCTGCACCAAAGCCTGGCAGCAACAGAGGATGGTTGGAGAGAGGCCAGCGAAAAAAGCTGGAGGCTCCAGAAGAGGCCAGTGAAAACTGGATTTAATCACTGTGGCTTAGAAAAAACAGAACCGGGAATCGAGAGAAATTTCATGGGGAAACTTGAAGCCAGATGGAAGAAAAGCCTGAAGATTTGGTCTGGAGAGGTTTCAGGGGGTTTAGGAACACAAACATGTCAGTTTCTTGAAGGGGAAAATGGGGAAGGTGAAGACTAGGAGCACTGTGGCTCAGCAGAGGACTTCAGGAAGGGCCAGCACAAGTCCAGAGGACACAAAGACCATAAGGATCAGGCACTGATGAGGGAGAGTTCAGTGTGCAGTGGTGAGGGGCAGCCACATCCATGAGACAGCTGTCTCCACATGGGGGAAAGCAGCTTGGGTGACACAGAGCAGGGCTGCAATCTGCCACCACCAGTACTAATCACAGCAGGATGCCCATAACTCCCAGGGAAAAGAGCTAAGCTGTTCTCTTTACTCACCAAAGAGTGCCTCTCACCCACCGTTATTGATCCCAGGCATCGAGGATGTCCACACGCTGCTGCTGTTGTCATTAAAGGTATAGCAGTTCCCATACAAGGGATGGTGGAAGTGGGTATAGTTCCTGAGAGGGGAACACAGAGTGTGAGGTGCTGTGAAATCAAGGGGAAGGGCTTTCTGAAAGGAACAACTCTGTTTTCCATCAGCAGGGACAGGGGCTTGCAGCAGATGGGCAGTATTTGTTATGTAAACTCTCATGAACAGGGAAAAGCAATTAAAATGTGCTGTAAAAAATGTCCTGGAGCTGGAAAGGTTTTTACTCGAGGTTTTTCATGCTGCTTTTCAGAGCCCAAATGGGTTTTTAGTAGTACTAGCAATTATTGTATTATCTTCCTAGTACTGATGAAACTCTTTAAGATTTTCCTACCCCTTTTCCTTCCTTGCAGATCATTTTCATTCCACTACCTGCTCGGGGCTTTTTGACCAATAATGGCAGGAGAAAAATGGGATATGTTTTTACTGTCTTTTTGTATCAACTCTCTCTTCTCTTATTCCTTTATGTGCTGATATGTGCCACTTTACCACTGTGGAGGGTAAATAAAAATACTTCTATGCTGTAAATCTGTGCCCTCTCTGGTGTTTGTACCAGTATAATAATTTCATTTGTGTGAAACCCAGAAAAAGGCAAAACCATCCTTTGAGGTTCATACTTCCAGGTCACAGAATGTAAGGGTCTGATATGCAAAACCCACAGGAAAGATTCAAGAAAGATCATTTGACCTTTCAAATGGGAACTGAACAAGGAATGATCCCATCTCGGAAAAGAGGTTCTCTAATGTGAGTTCCTTGGTTTCCCTCGACCCCAGGCACAAAATAAGCATTTTTAGGGGTGTTTCCACTACTTACGCCTTGTCACACGTTGCTTCATTGAAGCGGCAAGCATAGATGAAATTCTCAAAGTCAGACTCGTCCAGGGCTTTTGCATCAGGCACCTGCGCCAGGATATTGATGTAGTGAAAGCTGTACCATTCCCGCACGGCATCCACTCCCGAGGAGTACGCCTGATGGAAACAGTCGTTGTTTTCATTGCACTGTTAAGAAGAAGAAAAGCCGTGTCAGAGAAGTCTTCTCATCCCGGAGACACAGCTCTGCCCGTGGATAAGCTGTGCTCCACAGCACAGGCAGATAACCGAGGAAGTGAAGAGCTCCACAGGACTCCTGTGTGTGACCAACAGGTGATCAGATGGCAAAAAAACCCAGGGCAGCTCCTCGGTGGAAGGGCAACGCCAGGTGAATAAGCGAGGCTGAGTAAGACCCAGAAGGCAGCAAGGTGTACAGGGTAATCTGCACATAAATTCTACCTGGTATAAAACCAGGAGCTTTAAATTCTTGCGCGGGGAGCCCTTCCTTCAGGGTGTGTCCAGAAAAGTTTGTGATCCTGTGGGAACTCCAGTGAGCTGCTGAACGATTAGCTTCAGTCCTCCCGTGCTTTTTTAAATGCAAACACAGATACCCTAGGGCGAGGAAGCTGCTACCTAGGAGCAATTGCGACCATGACTACAATTCAGGTGGCCCAGGACCATCAAATACTTTCTCCTTTGCTATTATTGGGCAATGCAGCAGCTGATACTGATAAACTGCTCTCAAAAGCAACTGCAAGGCTGATGTACCCTCAGGAAGAACAAGGTTTTCCTGCTCTTGGGAAGAGATGTACACTGACTTGGACATGTCCCCTGGGGCCTGCATGAACATGGATAGAATTTGGGGAGCAGGATTGTATGGAGCAAAAGGTTCACCTCTACCTCTATCTATCATTAGCAAAAGCCAGTGGAGATTAATCAGACTTCTATGTTTAAGGAAAGGTATGGTCAAGGGTCTAACAAGACAAAAGTAGCCAGGCAGACTGGAGTGGGTAGGGCATGGGGTATCTAAGGATCTCACCAGAACAAAGCCAATTTTCCAGTCATTCTTGTCCACTGAGGGACTGTTCTCTGGCAAGTTGACTAAGTTGTCCCTCTTCTGCCTCCGCAAAGGATGGCGCTGGACATGATGGAGCAGGCTCCTTGAGCTACGCCTTTGTGTGGACGATGTGGACCAGTCTCTTTGTGGCAGAGACATATTGTAGTCATAGAGATCTAGCAGTGTCTGGTGGGTGATTTGGTCCAGCTTATCCAGCTGCTTTCGGATGGCGCTGTATCTGTCCAGGGGGGAGAGAAGACCAGCAGGTTTAGGGTTGGATGCACACAAACAGCTCTGAATAGAACATGCAGCAAAGTTTGCTGGGGTGATTCCTGCCACCAGCTGTAAATCTAACCCCTTGCTGGAGGCTACCTTGCAGGAGAGAAGTAAATCTGCTCTAGCCCTGTGGCAGTTTACATCGCAGCCTGCTAAATACACCACCAGGCAGAGCTGGCTAAGCTCACATGCCTTACTGTGAGTGCCCTGCAGCAGCAAAGGCCTCTGAAATGCCTTTCCACCGGCACAGCTACAACGGTGGGCTGTCGAGGAGAACCAGAGTATGTGCTTTTATCCTGCACCCATCAAAGTCAAGGCAGTCAGCATCTCTGCAGGTCTATGTCTTACCTGTACGGATTGAGGGTGCAGAGTGTCACGGCTGGGAAAGTCAGCCTGTCGGAGTTCAGGTTGAGGTTGAGGTTGACAGGGTAGCTGAAGTACTCCCTGTAGAGGATCCCGAACTGCCAGTACATTAAGCCGAAGGTGAGAAAGAAGAGGACGGACCAGAAGGCTGTCTTCATCTTATTCTTTTTGGAGCACACCAGGCGGATAGCCCCGTGGATGGTTGTATTGCTGCAGAAGAACTGGAATAGCTCCTGGTAGGAACTGTAGAATTCGATGAGACCCTCCCGCTCCTCTTCTTTCTGTGGCTGCTCCTCTTCTTGCTTACATTGTCTCATTTTCTCCCCTTCTGGCATCTTCCCTGCCTTCACAGACCCACTCTGCAGCACAAACTCAGAGTTAGTCGCCCAGCAAGGCTGCGGCTCCGGGAAGCCCTGCCCGCTGCACAAACCGGCTCTGCATCACCATCTTCCGCAAGCCCCGCTGCTTTCACCCTCTCCCCCCGACCCCCACTGGGGCTGAGGTCCCGCCGAGCCCTCCCGTCCCACGTTTCCCAGGGGTCGATCCTCCCCCGGCAGAGCCGCGTCCCGTCCCTGCCGCGCCCCCGCCCGCCCCGCCGGGCCCGGCACTGACGGGGGCGCGGTGCCCACGGCGGGCGGCGGCTGCTCGGGCCGGGCCGGGCCGGGCCGGGGCCGGCGTGCTCTGCCCGGCGCTGCCGGCTCTCCCGCAGCCTCCCCGGCTGGGCTGGGACCGGTTCCTTTCCAGTTGGAGCCAGCACCCCGCCCGGCTCCTGCCCTGCCAGCCTCTCCCCGCCCCTCCCGCCTGTCCCTCCTGCCTGCCCCCTCCTGCCCCGGCCCCTTCCCCTTCCCTCGGGCGCCGCTCCCGGGGAAGAAAAGCCTCTCTAAACTCTCGAGTGTCGGCGGCGGCCGGGGGAAGGGGACACGTCGGGGCGGTGACCTTGGCGGAGCCGGCGGGGTCAAGGCGCTCCCGGGGCAGCGGGGCCCCCCGGCCCCCCGAGGGGAGCCCGGCCCCCGCCAGGTACGGCCGCCGAGCAGCCCGAGCCTCCTCCTCCCATCCCCTCCGGCGGGGACGCGGCGTCCCGGCGAGCCCCGGCGATGCAGAAAGCAAGCTGGCAGCGCTGGTCCCCGCGGCAGCGCCGGCCGGCCGGGAGCCCCCACGGTCCGTGCCCCCCGAGACCTTGCCCTGCCACCGACCGGTGCGTTCGCCGCAAAACTCTGCTTTCCAGGGGCAGAGCCGCGAGCTTCGGGTGGGATCGGCGAGGGGGATGGAGCTGGGACACAGAAGGCTGGGGGCGAGTCAGTGATACACCTTAGTTACCGCATCGCCTTTGCTGGTGCCTTAACTGAAGAAATCTTTTGTGTCCGCAACCACCTGGCCCAACCATGAGTGGGAACTTGTTTTGCTGAGCTGTGCCTGGGAAATCGAGGCCTCCCGGCATTATCCAAAGCTTTCCAGTCTTTCCTTGGACCACGGAAATGAACACTCTGAGCAAAATGTGATTGAAATTCCCAAACACTCTCCCGTCATTAAAACTGTGAAACTCCTTTACCAATCTTTTCTCTCATTGATTTTCTTTTAAACTAGCTGTCTCTGAAGTTTTCACTTATTTCTTTTTCTGGTGACCTCCTTCAGATAAGTCCTTGTTCAGAGTCTTTGGATACTGAATTTTGATCCTTGTTGAGTTAGCAGTGGTTTGGTTAGTGACTCAAAATACTCAGCCACTTTCACCTCTTCATATTGCAAAATCCCATGCTTGTAAATGGCAAGCATTACACTTTTGAGGCCAGCCGTTAAGTGTCAGTATGCCAGAAACAGCCTTGTGTCAGGTGCTTGTTATAAACCTACAGCCACAGTTTGGAGTGTTCCGCTAGTTCTGTCCCATGACAAAGAGCAGTGCAAAGCAAAAGCATAGTTTCCCCTGCAGTTCTAAACTTAATTGTATCTCCAGTAAATTAATTTTGAACTTCCATCAAGATAAAACTTGCAAAAAGTGGGTGGTGTGAGGTGAACAGACTAATATTGTCAAATGCTTATTAAAATGCAGCTTCCTTAGAGCATTACTGCGCCCACTTCTGGGGCCCCCAACTCAGGAAGGACATGGTCCTTTTGGATAGAGTCCAGAGGAGGCCATGAAGATGATCAGAGGGCTGGAGCACCTCTCCTGTGAAGGCAGGCTGCAGGGAGAGAGTTGGAGTTGTTCAGCTTGGAGAAGCGAGGCCTGCAGTGAAACCTTATTGCAGCATTCCAGTATCCAACAGGGCTACAAGAGACGTGGGAAGGGATGGTTTATCAGGATATGTCGTGACAGGACAAAGCAGAATGACTTCAAACTGAAAGAGGGAAGGTCTGGATTAGATATTAGGGAGAAATTTTTCACTGTGAGATTGGTGAGGCACTGGAACAGGTTTCTCAGACAAATGGTAGATGCCACATCCCTGGAAGAGCTCAAGGCCAGGTTGGACGGGGCTTTGAGCAACCTGATCTAGTGGAAGGTGTCCCTTCCCATGGCAGGGGGAAGGGTGGAACTAGATGACCTTTAAGGCCCCTTCCAACCCAAACCATTCCTTGATTAGAAGTATCCTGGGTTGGGCCGACAATCTGCGCAGCTCTGTACCCTGTTGTATACAGGTGAAGCCCGATGAAATTGTCAGCCTTGTTGCCCTTGTGAAAGCATGGCTCAGGCCTGCTACTTTGGCTAAGTAGAGGAGGACTATGGGAGAGTGACTCAGCTGGAGTAGGGGTAGGGAGACGTGAGAGACGTGCTGCGGAGGCTGCTGCATGTCCAGGTTGTGGTGTATGCTGCTTGGTTGACTTGGGCTTGTTGTGCCTTAAAACTATGTGATAACCAGCTAACTGCTAGAAAAGCCTGGCTTTTACAGTTAAGTGTGCTTTTGATGCTTGCCACCATCTTCAGCATCAGTCTTGTGTCCACCATTCAATGGTGACCCCAGACGTGTTAGGGTTGAGACTGCAGACCTGAGAGCAGCCAGCGGTGGAGCTCAGTCAAGCAAAACAGGCAGACCTGAGAGCCTGAAAGTCCGGATGATTTGAGAAAGCAGAGACACCTGACTCCAGGTGAGTGACTGGGAACAGAGACATGGGCCCCAAATATCAGCAGAAGAAAAATCTGTTTGGAACATTTTGTTGTGAATATGATAGAAGGGACATATCAAATATGAGAAGCTGGCGCTACGCACCTTGCTCGTTTGGTGCAAAAGAAATGGGTGAGAGTGGATGTACAGACTGCCTTTTTTGTCAAAACATGGGAGGAAGCAGGGCTAGTCCTATGGGAAGCAGCTACAAAGAGGGACGAAATAGCCAGAAGATGGCTAATGACGTGGCTAGTGCTTGGTTCGGGACTCATTGCTACAATTAAAAGTTGATAGGGAGGCAGCAGTTGCTGCCTCATGAGAGCTCCTCTGTTTAATACCCCTCTTCCAAAACTTGTTCTATCTTCCTCTGCCTATGAATGGTGGGAAATGGGATTACGGTGAGGAAGAGGTCTGGGGCCAACAACAAAGCCCTGCAGACCCAAAGCACCAGGATACCAGATTGCAATGATGGGATGGACTGTGGCTTGGCAAGACAGACCCTTACAGATACTACAGTCGTTTCTCTACATTGGAGCATCTTTTATTACAGGTTAAAAAACCCTGTAACTTTTTCCTAGATGAGAGAGACCTTGATGTTAAAAACTCCTGTGTGCACCTGCAGCAAGGAGTCCTAGACAGATGCAGATAATGAACTCTGGGCACAGATCCAGGACATGGATCCTGGGAATGGGTTGATAGCCCTGCCCATGGCGTGGTCTCACAGTACCATCAGGCCCTGTAGCCACAGCAGCCACCACCATGTCTGGGATGGCATTGATGGGACTCCACTCACTCTGGGACCTGGATTCCCCAGGCTTGAAAGCCCCCCAACTTTTGAGAGCTCCCCTGTCCCCTCCCAGGCCCCCAGGTGGTACAGCCCCCCCACCTCACACTTGCTGAGGTGCATATGGGTGGCATGGCAGGATCTGAGTTCTTTGGCAGAGATACTGATATATTGCATGATTGGTAGAGCTTGCTGTGTGGAGTGTGTGCTCCCTTTTCAGGAGTTTTGATTTGAGGTCTGATAGAACTGAATTGACACTGATTCCTTGCTCAATTGTAACAGTGTTAGCTATTACTACAGTAATTAAAAACTTACATACCGGAAAAATATTTGCAAGTGGGTAATGTTTCAGTTTGTGGACAAGAAGGTTCATATATGTATGATACAGTGCCTCCTTAGAAAATTTAGGGGATCCCTCCTTGCAAATATTTTAAGTCAATGTTAACGAAACAGCAATTAACTTTCAAGCCTGCAGTTGGCACAAGTCGTAAATTAGACATTCTTTTGCTCACATTCCTGACAAACCTTGAACTTTATCTGCAGTAGCTGTTCGAGACTTAGTTATAATTACAATATGAAATTACTCTGCAAAGGCAGACAAACTTATCCCAGCTTTACCAGTTCTCTTGCTTTTTACCTCACAGCTTTAACAAGGTAATTTTATTGTGATTCTTTTGGTATCAAAACAGTTTATATCTTACACACCCACTAACCTAACCAAGTTACTTGTGTAAAACTCATGTCATTATTATATAACTAAGTTCTTACTGTTTTAGCCTTGAATATTTATATCCCATTGACCTTTATAAGGCCAAGCTCAAATCTATTGTACAGACAATCTCAAAAAGCTGAAGGTTTGCAGGGCAATTTGCCAAAAACTACACTGTTGTCATTTTCTGAGTAAAGCTGCACATTAAAAACAAAAGAAAACAACACAAAAACAAAACTCTAGCAAAGAGTTACACCATAAAAATCCTTGCTACAAATGCATAAAATCACAACATATTTGGCACACCTTTATAATCTCTCCAGTAAATCCATGCTACTGCTATTTCAGTTACAAAACAATTGTTTGCCTGCATGTTGTTACTTTGAAGTTCTGTTACATTTAAGTTCTGGCGGGTTAAGGTTCTGTTAAATTTAAGTTCTGGTAATTTCTATTAAGATTCATTTTTGTTAGTTTCTGCTCATTTGAATTACAAGATACAGTTATTTTGTTATAGAAATAAGATAAAACCAACTGAAATAACTGATGAAACATTAGTAGCCACCTGTTTCAAAATGTAAGATAGTAAGTTGTGTAGAATATGTGAAGATACGGTTTCTTAAATCCTTAATTTCATCAAAGATTTTATGAATATAAATGTTTCACACTGATTAATTGACATAATTCTTTTTAACAATTGCTGCTGTTTTATCTTCCATAGGTAACACTGAAGAATGAGTAAGAATTCCAGATTATGACTGTTGTTAATTG